CTCGAAATATCAAAATCAAATATATTGAACAAGTAGAATATAGAAAATAAACAAATTAATAAACTTTAAAAAAAAAAAAAAAAAAAAAAACTTAAAGAAATTCATTAAGTTAGTTATTCCGAATTGTATTACTCTTACTTAATGTTCCGAAAATAGATTTTTCTGTTTAAAATTTAAACAAAATTTTTAATGTTTTACATATATACATATGCTATTTTCAGTTATATGTTTCGTTGTATCCATTTTAATGCATTCTTAACATTAGCAAGTGTTACCCTGCTAAGAAAGCTTGCGATTAATTGGTACTCTGGCATTGTGCGTCTTCCACAAGAACGTATTGAAAGTATTCGTTTATTTGCATTGTGTCTGCTTATATTGTGTTCTGTGTCAGCAGACGATTCATGCGATGAAAATAAATTTGTTTTTCTTCCTTCACAAAGAACTTTTGTGGTTAAGCACAAAAGCCATTGCATAATCTGTAAATTCATATGCATTTGCTTAATTTATCTAATGTTGTTGACTCGAGTTCATCTGGATAGATATTAGAAAATTGCCAAAGGACATTTGAAGATTGTTGATTTGTAGATTTGTTGATAGAATAGATTTGTAAAATTTACGAAAAACTTCTCTTTTGGTTCAATAATCATTAAATTTCTATATATTTAAAATTTCTATTTTTGATTAGACAAATTCAAATTACACAGTTATTTATTGATTACCAAAAAAAGAAACATTTTTAGTACATTTTACAAATCTATTCTATCGCAAATAATTTATGGTTTATTATTATTATTTATGATTTATTTATTGCAAGATTAAAATGAAAAAATATTTTCATTTTGATCTTGTAAAAAAATTATTGTTTTTCCACTTCTGATATCAATCCAAGGTAGCATTAGTAGGTGTTTTAAATTTATAAATACATATTTTTACCTCATTGCTCGTTGGTAATTGAGTTTCGCTTTTCAACCATGAACTAGGTGCCCACAGATACAATTGCATTACAGTTGCTGCTAATTCGCTATCAAGTCGCTATGTATATATATTCGAAAGAAAAAACATTTTAATATTTGTTAATTTTGAAAATTGAATTTCTGTAACTAGATCTTTTAGTAGATTGCTCGCTCTCTTACAAACCTTATATAAACTTCTAGACAATGCATTTTTTATAATTGCATTAATAATAGATGGCAGACTATCCGGTAGTGTTGGAAGTTCGTTTTCAATATAATTATAATTGTTTAAAGCAGCTTGTTCCTTTTCACCATGAAATGGATTTTTCATTCCAAATATTTCGTATGCTATAGTTCCAACCGTCCAAAAATCAGCTTTTGTATAATTTATGCTTGTAAAAGGACCCGGCTCCGCTGTTATTACTTCCGGTGCCATCAATGCGATATTGCCACCTTTGTCAATATCATGAGTGTTGTAAGGCAAGTATAGTCCATGATTTTTATCGGCCAAACAACAGCCAAAAATCCGTTACAACTAGAGATGGAGAATTATCAG